CTTCTTTGGTAACCTTTCCTCCTCCATCCTTTGCACGTGTCCATACCAAATCAGTAGACTTTTCTCTATCTCCTCAATTATATCTCGGTCCATCCTCATGATTTCTCTAATCCTTTCGTTTCTCACTCTCTCTCTTCTGGAAATTCTAGCCGCTCTTCTTAGGAAATCCATTTCCATTATTAATTTTTAGGATTTATACACCTGTATCCTGGCACCCGCAAATTCCGTAGGAATGAAATTCTCTTGAATATCTTCACTGAAATTACTGAGGAGATCCGTAGTTCTGTAGAGTGAGATACAAGAGAACTTTATGCCTATAAAATGAACTACATTCAAGTTCATTTACTGCAAACAGTCTAAAATATATGTGGCCAACTGTTCAACACTAATTTTCAGTTTGAGGAATCCACATTTGACCAATTACATTAAATAATTTTAAGAATGTAGTACTGGAACATGCTTACAGTAGTGTATTATGAATATAAAACTGACATAATGTCTTTCAAATGCTGGAATTATGAGAATTGTTTTGCTGCATTTTATATAAAAAAAATAGCCTAACTACATCAAACTAAATTAAATTGCTTGTTAATTATTATTGCACGATGAAGAATCCAGTAGATGAAAGATTCTCAGGCTACAAGCCGAGTCTAAAGTTTTGCCCGTCACTAAGTAGAATACCTTGAAGCCATATTAGGGGAAACAAAGATGAAGCTCTACACATTTTAAAGTATTTAAAAGTGAGTGGTCAGCTGCATTCTTCAGCCCCTTTATCCAATGGAAGGAGGACTTGATCTGTTTTGAATAAGAGGCTTCTACTTAGAAATAAAGAGAAAAATCCCTTGTGACATATAAAAGATGCATATATTTTGATGTAACCCCTGTTATTTTTCTGTTATGTGGTTTATGATAAACCTGAAAGATATATTGACCATCTTGGATCAAAATTAAATATTTCTGACAACCTTTAGTATAGGCCTTACACCAGTTTTAATTTAAATTTTGTTAGTGGTTTAGGAGTATATATATATATATAAATATATATGAATGGATATAAATGACTTTATTATGTCAATATTAGTCCTCTGTGTTGTTATGTAATGCCATGTAGACTTTCAGTTAGATAACCAATGTTTCAGAGAAACATACTGTCTCCATCTTCAGTCTGACGTCAATTTTGTCCTTTTGATGCACAAGGGTTCCAGTAGATAGAATGTCCATAGTATTAGAGGTTCACTAAGTAAGATTTGAGGTTCATGCAGTGGAGATGGTTATAATGCCATATGGACATCATCGCTAACGAGACAGTATGTTTCTCTAAAATGTTGGTATCTACCTGCAAGTCCATGCAGCGCTACAAACTAGATCATTGTCGTCTTCATCATCTTCACCACTGTGAGAACCTTGATCTCACGTGACTTCCTCATCGAATCACTTAATGTACAAACCATAGTCAACCGTTTCTCTCATCATATGTATTTGCGCTTGTGTTTATTTCTTCTGTATAACTAATAGCTTCACTTTCTTCCAGCCAGCAGGAGACAATTTAAACATCGCCTATGAGAATCCACGCCTCCTTCATCAACAGTATCACCACCATCACCACCACCACCATCACCATCACCAACAGCTGACACCAACCTCATTCTTTCCCAATGACAAGACGCCAATGCTTGTTACGCCAGCGAGTGGTGGTGGAGGCGCTGGTCAACAGCTAAGAGACGATGGATCCAGTGGTTATGGCAGTCCTGATTCAGAAACTTTTGATGCGCAGTGTAACTAAACATATTTGATCCCGTTACATGCCCGAATACCATCAAAATATTAAGATGAAGGAGTCGTGTTAAAGTATCTGTGCTCGGCAAACATCCTGCAGTTAGTGGCTGCTTGCATCTTCTGAGAAAATAATAAATTGTACCAAGGAAATATCTGAGCAATGTGACTTCATTTAGTACCTCAGTACAGGAGTACTTAAACTTCAAAATACTGATATACATATGGATTACATAAAGAAGGAGATGTTTATGTATCAGTTCATATAACTGATTTTGTAATAGTTTCAAAAATGTATGCACGAAGGTATAACATAATATTTAAACATTCTTACAATACTCAGCGCTCTGCATTAAAGAACACGGTATCAGAGATATGTAATTTCCAGGATACTATGGTGAGTGTTAATCGTTAATGATTAACATAACCTCAATCCAAATAACAGTTTGTATGGGTTTCTGACATTTTGCCATGTTAATAGTCATAGTTCATTATGGTATTTTGCAAGCTTTAGTGTACAGTAACAGGATTCTTGACAGCTGAGGAAACATTACACATGAGACATTATTCCTGCTTTCATATCAGTGAACATATGACCTATACATTTCTTTAATGATGCTATCATTTACATGGAAGTGAATGTTTAAGGTCTTGCTATTTCAATAAAAATTTAAATATCCGCTGGAATAAAGGAATGCATTTTCAGCCAAATAGATTATGGTAGAGTGTACAAGATTGGTAACTTACATTAAATGACTACCATTCATATAAGCAGCCACTTTCTGTGCAGAGGGTGATTTATATAAAACTAATGTTGCAAACATTAGAAAAGGGAAAAAAAACATTACAGTGAATTCTGTTTCAAGACTGTTCTGAAATGCTGTCTTTGAATTCTTATGCCTTTATGTCAAAATATATTTAAAAGAAACATATTTACTGAAATTATAAACAAAATTAGTTTTAAAATACCAATTAAATAGGAAAAATGAAAGAATAAGACAGACAACAAGTATTTTTTACACATAGAATGTGATCCTATACTAGTCGGTTCGCCAAATATGAAATAAAACAAATATTTCCAATTTTATCATCTAAAGATTTTCTGATGTATACGAAATGAACGCGATTTAGATCTATATAATGATCATGATGATAGGATGATAATAAAGAAGATGAGGAAAATGAACACTCCATCATCTTTTGTATACCATTTAGTGGCCTGTGATGACTAAACTAGCTGGTACTCAGGTGAACTGATTCCACACACTATCTGCTTCTGAGAAGAAGGGAATTGATGCTGATTGTGATGTGCTACAGCAGATTTCTCTTGACAGAGCCAGGAAATAAGAAGTTTAGCATTGTCCTAATATACATTTCATTCAATTAATACTTGTTTCTGTTAATTGTTGCTCTTCATTGAAATTGGTTTAATAATGAATACTAAACAAAACCAAAAAATTGGTAAAACTGTAAACACAAAATTATGAACTGCTTTCTCAAGTCTTGCAGAACTGGTCTGTAAAAGAATTAGGCTCATCAATGTACACCTATAATTATTTATCATAACAAAGATTTTCAGCTGTTTGTAGTGTACAGATAATCTTCCTGTAACATTTCTCTTTTTGAGATTTTAAATTTTTACAGAAATGAAAATGTGGATTGTGATCTTGTGGGTTGTGGTACTGTGTAGTCTTGTACATAGTTAACATTTTTGAAGAAACATCTCCCCTTAATTTTCAAGGTGGAAGTGGTAGAAATGTTAGTAACCGCAGATCACAATAAAAAAATATCTTAAATTTCATCGTGCTTAATTTATATATAAGTATAATGTATATAATCCAAGTTTCAGTGCAGTAGAGTCCTTGGACCTTAAATACAGTTACTTAATTTTTTAATTGTATATACTATTTAAATTTATTAAATGTGAAAACTATTTTTATTCATTTAGCTACAAGCTCCATGAAAAAAGTATATTTTTACATTAATACTACACGTCTTAACATGTCAACTTTAGGAATGAGTTACCATAATCAAGCAAAGATTGCTTACAAAATCATTTGGATTTCTTTTATTGGATCTTTCTGTAAATTTTTCTTTAATTCAAACAAGTCATAACTGTAAAAGTCTATTGAAATTATTCACAGACTACAGGAAGAAATAATTATTTAAAGGTAACATAAATCCTTGGAAAGTATGGTGACGTTCATATTTGGCAATGGTGGTGAAAATAAAAACCTTCAGGTTTCATAGAATATATGGAATTTCTTGACCGGCTGAGCAACTAGCTTGTGAGGAACAACTCTATTCCATGGAGTGAGTTTTTTAATTGAAAATATTCACCAAGGCACAAGAAATATCAGTACTTATTCCATTTAACAGACATTATGTAACAACCCTGGTGCATCTTCTAGAGTTTGCATTTTGTAAATGGCTGGCATTCCTTGACCTTTGTGAATGGCCCAAATATTCTTCAAACATTTCCATGTAAATGTAAAGTACTCATTATTGTCATCCAGTTTCAATCAAAATTGGAGTGCAAAATGTTGTTATTCCATATTAAATTTTCATATTAATCTGTTGAGCCACTCGATTTGCTACACGCATAACTTGCATACAAATGGGCAGATAAAGAAATTTTAATACCCACCCTGCAGGGCTGTAAACATGCCTGAATAGTGACCATTATATTTTGTTCTGGGTTAGTTAAACCCAACCTCTTCAGTTCCATTGCAATATTACCCATCTGTCTTTTTCCTAATTGGTCACTTTTCAGGAGAATCCCTTACCAAAATTCTTACTGTATTTATGTGAGATAAACATTTAAAGTCTTCTCAGACAGTGAATTATTTATGCACAGTATGAAAGAAAGCTTAAGACAGTCCTGAATCTCTTACAAGGACTTTGGTTATGAATATGATCATACTACGAAAATTAGTGACACTAAATCTTATTTCCTGGCCTTTATACTTAAAAGGAGCAAGTTGTAATATCAACTCCTGTTATAAACATGAAGTGGTGAGTTTCAGATAGTAAAAGCACAATTACTGTGTATTAATGTCACTAACTGTACTTCTACATATTTGTTTTATAACGTGCTGAATATGTAAACATTTTAAACTTTGCATCATTCAAGCCATTGGGACTATTGAATCACATCCATATTGACAAATTTATTATATGCTATATTTGCTTCTAATCTATCTTCTACTCACCTGTTCATATTTCTGTTCAAGTTACATTGCACATATTTCTATGTTATTGTGAACATTACGATGTGAGATGGAACTTCAGAGATTACTTGCCCTGTAACTAAACAATCTGATGAATCAATGGACTTCCTATTTCTCATTTTGTTGTTTTTATGTATAGTCACATAGATAATAATAATAATAGTAGGTGATAGTAATGATTTGGAACACAATTCTGAACTCTGTTCTTTTAAAAAGAATATGCAACTCCTATATCATAACATTTTTGATAAATCATAAATTGTGAGGATAATGTGGCTGAATGTGATCATAAACGGTACTCTGGAATGGGTGGTACATAAGTATTAAGATATTTGAAGTAACCTCCAATGAAATGGTGTGGATTTAAGCTACTTCCATATAAATCAGAAGTAACAGTATCATTTTGAGCATCACGAGTGTTAGTAGGTAAACCAGTTGGCAAAAACAGTGATGAAAGATGGCTGAGCTTTTCTTATGTAACAGATTAAATTTTTAAGTACAGACAGTGTATATATTAAAACAAAAACTTCTGATTTAAAACTAAATCTGTATGAAAAATAAGATATGTTAACAACTTATTATTTTGTGTATGCAAGAAATTATATATTAAATACTCAGCTACCAGTGTTTATGCCATGTATTTTCTGAAGGATTAATCAGGTAAATGAATTTTTTTTTTATCTGTTACATATTTGATTACATTTATTTGTTAAATGCTGGATTATGTTTTATTGTTAATGCCATTGGTTATAATAGAAATACATTTATTTCATAGCTTGACAATGTAAGTGGTGTTTAAAAATACAACATGTTGGATTATAATATGAATTACAACAGTTTAAGACAAGGTACTTTTCTCATGTCACACACAACAACTCATTAACCTATTTTATGTTCTAAGAAAGAAATTTCTAAATCCTGCAAAGAGTAGCTGACAATTTTCATATAAAGATTTTGCTGAAAGTAGATCTGTCACTTTGTCATCATCTAGTATTTTGATTTGTATTTTCAGATAAAGAAGTTCCTCATCGATCACTCGTAGGGTTAAGAATCTGAAATTAAATCAGTAAGTGTGACATCAATTTAAATGATAAATTAAGTATATGCTTTGATGGTCTTGTTCTAAATCCATTTCTCTACAACATAAACATATTAAAGTAGTTTGTTTTTTTACTGATGTGAGTTCTGTGTTTCATGAACAAATTCTGACTGACATAATCCCATGTACATTGGAAGTTACTGCCAAGTCACTAATAATCTGTTGGTCAGATCTAGAATTATTATGAAAGAAAACAATCTGTTACTGATTCTGTTATATCAACATCCATAAATTTGTGCAGTGTAAGACACCCACTTCAGTATTTTCCTGTAGTATGGCATCTTGAAAATAAAAAGAGTTGATACCAAAGTATAAATATCAAGGAAGATTGTTAATATAACTGAACTGTAAATAAATGTTGTATTAAATGAATACAGGGCAGAAAGTTGAAGTCAAACACTTTCTGGCCTCTGATCATTAGATTAAAATTTCATGAAATGTAAATATGATATTCTATGAAATAACTGTTTGGCTATGACTCCCATTTAGTGTAATACAGACATATCTTGAGTCAAACTGTAGAATGCATTATTCATTTGCTATTGTTCCATGTACAATAATTCTGTTGGTATTTGTTTTCTGTTTAATGATGCAATCAGTTATTATGTATAAAATATCGTAGGGATAAATGTGATTCATTTTTCAACTAAACAAAGTTATCTCTATAGAATTCTTTTGGAAACAAATGTACATATGACTTGTGTTAATGAAAGCAAAAATAAATGTTGTCTTTTTGTTACATTGTGTTCAAAGAACACAAGATTGTTTGTTTTAGATAAGTAGCAAAGTAAAAGCTGGGAAATGGACTGAGCACATGAAGTTGAAGCAACCATCCAGATCTTGCACATGAGGGACTTCATGCTTTGGAACATGGTAATGAAAGGTAAAGATTGAGTTACCTCAGGGGCTAAGCTTATCTCCATGAAGGCATCTAAGGATAAGAGGCAACAGATCAGTATCTCATCATTTTGCTTACAGAATGTTTTGCTTTATTTTGAATGATTATCAGAATAAATACTGACTGTTGCCCTAATTAACAATAAGTAACAATTAGTAACAAAGACTTTTTCTTGGGCATAAAATTTTTTAGATTATTGGGATGAGCTTTGGCTTATGTGAATTAACCTCAATGCTAGATGGAAATTGGTAGTCA